CCCACCTTGAGCAGCTCAAATCTTCCTAACTCCAGACAAGGGGGATCTGATGTTTCCGGCCTCAAGGGAACCAGCAATCACATGCACATAGCCACAAGCACACACATAATTTCAGAAACACAAAAGCCATAAACAGATTTTTTTAAACATAGTCTGCATTTCTAAGGCACAGAACCATTTCTAGATTCTTATTTTTATTGTATGATTATCTTCTAACTACCTATAAAATTAATCACTAAGACAAATAAATTTGTTCTGCCAACTTTTTCATTTATCTAAGTTACATCTTTTTTGACAGATTTCACCTTATGTTTAAAGTGATAGGGACCAAACCCAGGGCCTGGGACTTGCTGGGCATGTGTATCACCACCAAGTTCATCCTCAGCCTTCCACAAGCCCCTTTGCCAACGCAACATGGCACAGCCCAACACAAGTAATACAAGTAGTACATTCTGCCTGATCTTAAATTTCCTTATGGCAATATTTCTTTGTGAAGCACATTTTTTATATTTTAATTGGGATTTTAAAACCATGTAAAAATTACCATCTTAACTCCTTTTGTGTGCACCTCATTACTGTTAAGTATAGAGACACTGTTATAACATCTCAAACTCATCCAATAAAACTGAGATCATATAGCCATTAACAGCAGTTTATCATCTCCCTCTTCTCTCAACCTTTATAGATTTTCATCTCTAGCTACATTCTCGACATAAGTAGAGTCATATAGTATTCTCTTTTGTTTTATTGCTTTGTTTTTTCGAGACAGGGTTTCTCTGTGTAGTCCTGGCTGTCCTGAACTCACTCTGTAGACCAGGCTGGCCTCGAACTCAGAAATCTGCCTGCCTCTGCCTCCCAAGTGCTGGGATTAAAGGTGTGCGCCACCACTGCCCGGCAATGAACTCTTATTGATTACTATATGAAATCAAGTTGGGGAAATATGAAGGTTTAAGTTTGTGTTTCTGAGAAATCTGGAAAGGCTAAACAATGTATGAACTCCAGCTGTAGCATTCTGGAAAATCAACTGGAGACAATAGGAACTGTTTGCCAGCTATGTGGAAGAGGGTGAGAAGACTGGAGAGGTTTTCTAGGACAGTGTAGCTAGTGTTTATGTGTTTGTCAAAACACAGAGTTGCTCCATTTTGAATGGACTGTAACTTTGATGTCAGTTGTAAGTAGTGTATCATTCTGGTACTGCTCACTGAGAGTGAGGAGGATGTGTTTGTGTGGGTGCAGGAGATGTGTTGCAACAACTCTGCTTCTGCCAAGTTGTGCTTTATTTGTAAACTAGATACAAATACCTATTAGAACATGGTTGAGGTTAAAGTACTTAGAAATTTACACACACTATCTTCTGAAGAACAGCAGGTAGATCATAATTCAAGGCAGTGTACCGTATAGACCATGACATGTTTCAAGGCACAGGCCAAGAAGATTTTGTACTTTTCCACCACCTGGCCCCTCTTACCCCCTCCCCTTGTAAAACATGCTATAAAAAAGCATTTCATGTTCAAAAATAAATTATTTATAAAATAAAAAAAAAGAAATTTACACACACACACACACACACACACACACATTATATATATATATATATGGAGACTTGTATTTCAAATATATAAAGTCAGTCTAACAACCTACCTCATGCTATGAGAAATATCCATTTACAAAAGAGAATACTACTGCTGGGCAGTGGTGGCGCACACCTTTAATCCCAGCACATGGGAGTCAGAGGCAGGTGGATTTCTGAGTTCAAGGCCAGCCTGGTCTACAGAGTGAGTTCCAGGACAGCCAGGGCTACACAGAGAAACCTTGTCTCGAAAAAAACCAAGCAAAAATTAATTAATTAATTAATAAAAGAGATCATTGTCTAGATGTATCTACTAACCTCCTGAGAGTTATCTTGGTTATATCCCTGTTTAGGAAATTATGGTTAAAAACTGCTGTAAACATCCATATACATACAGGTTATTGTATGGCCATAAATTCCAACTTGTAGTAAATTGTTTTTTTTAATATTTTTTATTTCAACTTGTAAGAATCTGTTGAAATAGACTTCCAAAGTGACTATGCTATTTTGCATGTCCCACAAGCTGCCTCTCTTCCAGTCTTTGCATTTGGTCTGTTCACTAGTTTGGTGCTTGGTCACTTTAATGGCGGTCACAGCATCTTGCTGTTCTGACTTGGACTCCCCCAGTAAAATTCCACTTGCACCATCTTTTTCTACTTTCACTTGGCACCTGTGTTTCTTTGGTGAAGTCAGTCTGTCTTAGGGCATTTTTGTCTTGTCTTTGGGTCTCATATACCCCCAGGCTGGTGTCATAACTATGATGTAGTAGAGGCTGGCCTTAAGTTCTTGATCCTCTTGCTTCTTCCAAGTGCTGGGATTTCAGAAGTCTGGAGCTGTGCCCAGCATTTTTGACCACCTTTAAACCAGTTTGATTTCTTATTTTAAATGGCTCTTGTATATATCTTTGATAGGATTGTTTTGTCAGACATACTTTTGACAAATATTTCCTACTAGTCAGCTTGTCTCTCTTGGCAATGGCTTTCAAAGAGCAAGTGTTTTTAAATTTAATGAAGTCCAGTTCACAGTTTTTCATAGATAAAATAGTAAAACTCAGATTGACTTTTACTGTTCTTATTTCATATTTATAATCCACTGAGTTAAGTTCCATCAAGAATATCAGTTTATATGTAGATTATCTGTATGTGAATCTCCCGTTGTTCCAACAACTTTTCTTCACTGTATTTCTTCTCCCCTTTGTGAAGATAAAGACAGGCTAGACAGAGGTAGCTTAGTTATAGGAAGAGCACGGAGTCCATCCTCAGCATAACAAAACAATACCAACAGAAAACCAACATCCCTTTTGCCTTTATATTTAGATGTTTAATTCGTAGTAATCTTTTCATTTTGATTTCTTTTCTTGAGATTAGGGTCTTGTTTACTTAAGCTGGCCTCAAAGTTGCTCTATAGCTGAGAATCACTTAGAACTCTTGAGTCTCCAGCTTGTACCTATGAACCAAATGCAGGGATTTACAAGCATGTGTCACAGGCCCAGCCTGTTTTTATTTGTTTTGTTTTTAATGTCATGTAGGGAATGCTCAAACAATTTTGCATGTAGATATCCAGATGACCCATCACTACTTGTTCAAACTAATATTCTTCCTCCATTAAATGCCTTAAATGCATTAAATATTTAACTTGATTAATAATTTCTGACATACAAGCTTATTTTATTTGGACTCTCAATTATATTCCAATTATCCTTATGTCTATCTTTATGCCAGTACCATTGTCTTGGTAACTGTAGCTTTTACAAGGCTGAAGGCTTCAAATTTCTTTTATTCTTTGGCTGCTGTGCCAAGAACACAAGGCAGTCGCTAGAATTCAAGGTAACTATTTTCCCAATGAGGTGCATCTACAGCCTGACTCTGTTGTTTTTAAAAACAACATTATTTTGACTATTCTGAATTATTTAAAACTTCACATAAATTTCAGATCACTGTGTTAACTGCTTAGTGCGCTATACACATGAGACTGTGCTGATGGTGTACATTTTTCTGTCCACCTCTGCTTTCATTTCTTCAATGTTTTGGATAAATTATGACTACTTCAGCTACTTAAATATTTGTGTTAAATAAAACAAACTACCCCAAGGACCCATGACATTTCTTTCTTACCATTTCCTGTGCTACCACTCTGTATTTCAAGTTTGTAGTTTGCTCATTTTTTTAAATAAAAAACTGTTATAGTAAAATCTACTTAATATCAGACTATACAAGAGAAATGATGTGCACTACAAAATCCTTTTGTGCCTGATTTTCATGTTGCTTCTGATTCCCTATCATGTGCTGTGTTCATGTTTTCTACTGAATAATCTGCTGCTAATTCCATCAATCAACTTCTGTATTTATTTGGATTTTTTTCTTTGTTTTGTTGTTGTTGAGACAGAGTTTCACTATGCATCACAAGCTTATCTCAAAGAGATCTGCCACCCCTGCATTCCAAGTGCTGAGTAACAGCATGCCACCACACTCTGCCCTCTGAGGAAGTTTTTTTTTGTTTTGTTTTGTTTTTTTGTTTTTAACTTTTTTGTAATGATTTATTTTTATTGTATGTGCATTGGTGTTTTGCCTGCATGTATGTCTGTGTAAGATGTCAGATATCCTGGAACTGGAGCTACAGTCGTTATAAGCTGCCATATGGGTTCTCTTAACCACTGAACCATCTTTCCAGCCCATCTTTAACTTTTTAAAAAATTATCACATCTTTATTATTTATTTGGGGGCGAGGTTGGGGGTAAGGGAAGATCAGAAGACAACTCTCAGGAGTTGGTTCTCTGAGGAAGTTTTTATTTCCTTAAATATAACAAACACAGGTAATGAACATTTGTTTAGTTAATTCCATCACCAATTATTTTAAGATATGGTCCTCCTGTGTCATTCTTTTGCTCATTCTGACACACAGCAGTTCACTTAGTTTATTAACATTTTGACTAAATAATTGAATAAATATACCTTATGTGCCAGGAATAAAGTTGATTCAAACTGACCTAAATTTGTTTATAGTATGCACCTGTGAAATTGATAGGCTCATGTTAACTTTAAAAAAAAATGTAATAATTTTTGTATATATGATGTCATGCATCTGTGTGTATGTCCATGTGTATGCACAGGCATGAGGAGTTCTCCATTTTAATTTTTCTAAGATTTATTTTTATTCTATGTGTATGAATGTTTTGCCTGAATATATGAATGTTCATTGTGTGTGTGCCTGCAAGACTCAGGGGCCAGAAGAGAGTTTTGGGAACTGAACCCAGGTTCTTTAAATAGCAAGTACTTTAAAAATGCTGAGCTATCTCTTTAGCCCCTAATCACTTCAGTCACCCAAAAATGAGCTGCAGGACTATATCTTTAGTGTAATTCCTTTCCTTCCCTATTCTGCTTTAAACAATCAAGAAAATATTTTATTCCCTAGGTTAGTAGGTTTTTTAAGTTAAGGAAGAGCATTAATGCAGTACCCCAGAACAACAATTTATGCAGTAGAATTTCCTGAATTTTGAGAAATTTCAGGGATCAACATATCCCAAGTACAATGGATCAACCTTGCCTAGGAAACCCACATTCTTGACTATAGTCTCTCCCCTGTCAAAAAAGTACACAATTTGTTCTTTTAAGGCAACCATTTGATGATGAAAGGCCTCTTACTAGAATCAGCAACTTTGTTTTTTTGTTGTTTCCTTTTTATAGTTTCTGTGAGGTTTAACTCCTCAATCCCTGCCCACCAACATCAATAAAATTCCACAATGATCTTCCAGAAACCAAGCTCTGCATTTCACTCTTCTAATCATTCACCTTGAATACCTTTGGAGATTCTAAGTTGTCCCATTTATCATGTGGCTATTTCACTGGTCTTTAGCAATAAAGATATGTGAGTCTGCCCCTGTCACACCCATTCAACGCGGCTTCTGGAACCACGGATACTTTTTCATTAAAAATGCCTTGTCACCTTGGCCTGCTCTCCATTCTACCTAACCACTTGTTAGGTTTCTGACACACGTGATTCTTTCTCTTATTGATCAGGGCTCAGATGTACTCATTTCCATATTTCCTGTGCTACCAGTTTAAGTAAGACTACTGTTCTCCATCTTCTAGATGGACAGCCTGTTAAGAGCTTCCTACCTATTTTTTCCCTTATAACCTATTTTCTGTCATAAGGACCAGAGTGATATTTTAAACATAAATAGAATCATGTTACAGTCATGTCACAGACTACAAAGTCTAGCCTGCCTCCACAGCTGTAATCATAAGTGATGAGCAAACTGACTTCTCAGTATCTCAGATATGCCAGCTGTTGCCCCCTTTTCAGATCCTAGCTACTTTGCTGACTCCTCTTCCTGGACTACTTTCCCTGCTTTTTCCATTATTTCATTCTTAGCTTTCCAAGGGCCCACTCTATCTAATCTGACATGTTTATTCCTTTAGAACACTTATCATTATCACCCATGAGTGATTACTGCTAACTATTGTGGACTTATTTTAATGTCTGTTCAGTCTCAAATCCTCATCTTATGCCTATGGACTAGCAGTGTCTGGGTCACTCTGGCAATGAATGATTATGTTGTTACTCAGCTGACCCACAGAAAAAGCACTAATGGAATTAGAAATTGCACATCCAGCACAAAGTCAGAACCAAGGACAGTGATTATGGAATAGAAATAGACTCAATCATGCTAATCACCTACCACCGAGCCATAGTCCTTTTCTATTTTGAGGCAGGGTTTTGTGAAATTGATCAGGCTAGCCTTTAACTTGCACTACTCCTACTGGGAGTGCTTCCAAGTAGCTGGGATACTACATGCCTGTGCCACCATGCTCAACAATTAGTAGAATATATTTATATTTCTGTTGCAAAAATTTCAGATAGGTATCAACTCTGGAACCAAGCATCAGAAATAATGTTGGGGGGGGCAAGATATCGGAGCAAGTAAGGGTGCTTGCTGACAATCCTGAGGAACTGAGTTCAATCCTCAGGACCTATATGGAAGGAGAGTCAACTTCTTTAATTTATCCTCTGATCTCCACACTTGAACATGTGTACATGTCCCCACACCCTGTCTCAACGAATGTGTTTTTATGAATAAAACCCTACTATTTAAACTTCATAAAATATACTTCTTGGGCTGAACAAGATGGCTCAACAGTTAAGAGCAGTCACTGTTCTTCCAGAGGATCTGGGTTCAATTCCTAGCACCTATATGGCAGCTCACAACTGTGTGTAACTCCAGTTCCAGGATCTGACACCGTCACACCAATGCACATAAAGTTAAATAAATTTTAAAAAAACATACTTCATTCCCACAGCAGTAGGATAGGCAGAAAACTGTCCAGGCTTTAATCATTTGACATGATATATCAGAGGCATGTTATAAGTTCACACCATGTTTGAGGTAACATCCCCTTATTGTTCTATTACTCAAATATCTAACTTTTGTGGCTTCTCCAAAAAAGTTGAACATCCGAAAAAAGACTCCCTTACATTCCTAATTGTACCACTATAATTTAAAAGATTTGGAGATCAGACAGCTATTCTGGTTCTCTCTTCTACCTTAGCTTAATAGCGTAGAAGCCAGAGTCTGTGGTGAAATGCAAGAGAATAAAATTAGAATGAGTACATCAGGTAGGCCTGCCTGTCCATATTAACTTTTTCATTCCTTCATTAGAAATGACATATTTTTTTACAAGTTTTAGTCAGCAAATATTTTTTGATTCTTAAAGTATTCGTTATCCATCACTTAAATTTACTCCTTAAAGGTTGTGACTATATATTTGCAAGAATTTTCAAATTTATTTATACTCTAAATTTTATGAAATAAACCCCAAAGCTTAAGAAAACAAAGCAATAATATTCAATCATTGCAAACTATCAGCTAAAAGATGCTGCCAGAAATTGTCACCTTTATGGCTTTGTATGTATTTTCACCTTTCATGCACAGATCCTGTTCATAGTAATACAAGCCATCATTGATCACTTTAACATGTTCTGATGTAATTTTTGTTTGTGATACATGTGTGCCTGTTCGGTCTTCTTCATGATGCTTTCTCATATAAGGTGGTGTCTGAGTTAACAATCAAAATCTTGTTTATATCTTGGTCAGTAATTTCATAATCTGAATCATTATCAGACCAATTAGTAAGTGCATTTTTTTCTTCTTTCTGTCTGTTCTGTCTCTTCAAGCAAAAAATAGTTTTTCTTGTTCTGGAAACTTTATTGATTTGATGTCTCTTCAGGTACAGATGTTGATTTCTTAAGAAACAACACAGTATTTTATAATTAATATTATAAAACTTTATCTTTCATTCCTATAAAAACATTATTTTTATTTATTTAAGGATCTATAAGAGTATTATAAGTATTCAATATGAGGTTTGTATATTCAATGATCAAATTAGTAAGCAAATTCTAATAGAAAACCAAGCAGTTGTTCTGGCTGGACACAAGGTTGAGTAAAAGGATACAGACTCCCTAAATTTGGAGTGGCCCTTAGTTCATCTCCCACATGGCACTGACTCACTAAGCCACAAGAAAGCAAGGCCTAGACATGGGAATTATTTTCTGTGCATTCAGAAAGACAAAAAAATTAAAACCTTTTAGGTTTGGAGTTAGCAAGTTCTCCATGGCTGAGCCTTTATGCACAATGCATATACACAGTGTGTGTGCCTGGCACCCACAGGCCAAATCCTCTGCCACCCTCATCTCCTGTGGAGCTGTTTTCATATTAAATCTGCTCTAATGCTAAAATGTACACTTCCTTGTGCTCATGTAAAATAGCTATTGCTGACACAACCTGCCCATCTTTGGCTCTAGAGATTCTCCTGGCAGTGTCTAAGTACAATCTAGACTAGCCTAAATCTGAGCACACCAAACACTTCTGCTCTGCTGTATCACACCACTCTCTGATCCAGCTTTATCTTTCAGCTCCATATGGCTAGAACAAAGAAATCTCTTTCTTTCAGAATTCTTAGTCATGTAGATTTAAAGTCAGTCAACAATGTGAGCTAGGCATTGCCCTAAGAAAACTGTCTATGTGTGAATATACTTTATAAGATGCAGAATATATTGTATGTATATGCGTGTTTGTGTACATGTGCATGTTTTGGTCAGAAATTATTCTCTACATTATTTTTTAAATTCTTACTAGGCTCTTGAATTCAAACGTATTTTTCAGGGTTGTTCCTTCTATCTATTTTTACGTGTATGGGTGCTTTTCCTACCTTTTATGTTAGCACTACCTATGGGCAGTGCCTGTAGAGGCCAGAAGAGGGCATCATAGACCATGGAACTGGACTTGAAAAATGATCTTGAGCCGCTATGTGGGTGCTTAGAGCCAAACTCAGATCCTCTGGAAGTGTAGGCAGTGATTTTAATTGTTGAGCCATTGTTCCAGCCCCCTTTTTTTACTTTTTGAGAGAGTCTCTCACTGAACATGGAGGTTGAGGTTCTGACTAAACTGATCCTCCTATTTCCATCTCTCCAGAACAAGGGTTACAGGTACACAACATCATGCCTAACTGTTTTGGTTTTTCGAGACAGGGTTTCTCTGTGGAGCCCTGGCTGTCCTGGAACTCACTCTGTAGACCAGGCTGGCCTCGAACTCAGAAATCCACCTGCCTCTGCCTCCCAAGTGCTGGGATCAAAGGCGTGTGCCACCACTGCCTGGCTCATGCCTAACTTTTTATATAATGCTAGAGATCCAAATTTAGGTTCTAATAATCATGATGCAAGCCATTTATCAACTGAGCCATCTCTCTATCCTGGGCCCTCTTCCAGAGGATCTGAGTTCGACTCCCAGAACCCATTTAGTAGCTCAAACCAACTGTAACTCCAGTTCCAGGGGATACAAACTTTTCTGGCCTCTGCAGACACTGCAAACATGTGGTTGCACATATATAAAGGCAGATGGGCAATGAACCCATACACATATAATAAATAAATAAATAAATAATCTTAAATATATATTAAAATATTTATTTATTTATTTACTTTATTGGATATTTTATTTACATTTCAGATGTTAGTCCTTTACCCCATCCCCCACCCCAGCCCAGAAACCCTCTATCCCATCTCCCCTCCTCCTGCTTCTAAGGATGTGCAAGCACAAAGTACATGTGATTATACTGATGACACACAAGAACAAGCAATGAGCCAGTATTATAGCAAAGACAGGAGACACTGTTCTCACCACGATCCTAAAGAGCTTTCAAATGGAAAGCATAAAAACAGGAATGGACAGTGAGCAGCAAACAAAGGGAAGCACTTTACCAACTGTAAAGCAACTTTCCTTTATGAACATGAAGCTTTAACATCTGTTCTCATGTAGTCAAAGCAGGAGTAGATGGATAAAATATAATCTCAGGAGTAGGTAGATAAAATATAATCTGATCAATAAACAACAGAAATTGATTGTACCTCTCAGAGAAAAATACTCTGTTTTTGCAGTGGCTGAGATCCAGAGTCAGCATGTCTGTTCTCTGCCAAGGTGTAGGACACAACAAGTCCAAATCTGTATAAATTTTCATTCAGTCAAGAGTGTGGGCTGTACCTGACATTCATGAAAATGGCCCAAGGGTCACCAGGCTGTATTCATAGCCAGAAGACA